TTTTTAGTGCTGTGAAGAATGTCATTGGTAGTTTGATGGGAATAGCAATTAAATCTGTAAACTGCTTTGGGCAGTATGACCATTTTAACTTTACTGATTCTTCCTATCCATGAGCATGGAATGTTTTTCCATTTGTTTATGTTATCTCTGATTTCCTTGAGCAGTGTTTTGTAGTTCTTATTATAGAGATCTATCATGGTTCTGGTAGCTATATTTTCTAAGCATTTTATTTTATTTGTGGCAACTGCAAATGAAATTGCATTACTTATTTGGCTCATGGCTTGGCTGTTGTTTGTGTGCAGAAATGCTAATGATTTTTGTACACTGATTTTGCATACTGAAACTTTGCTGAAGTTGCTTATCCACTTAAGGAGCCGTTGGGCAGAGACTGTTGGGTGTTTTAGATATAGAATCATGTCATCAGAAAAGAGCAATAGTTTGACTTCCTCTCTTCGTATTTGGATGCCCTTTATTTCTTTTTCTTGCCTGGTTGCTCTGGCTAGGATTTCCAACGCTATTAAAATATGTTGAACAGAAGTGGTGAGTTTGTGCTGGTTTTCAAGGGCAATGGTCCTAGCTCTTGCCCATTCAGTATGATGTTGGCTGTGGGTTTGTCATAGCTGACTCTTATAATTGTGAGGTACATTCCTTTAATATCTAGTTTGTTGAGTTTTTAACATGAATGTTGAATTTTGTCTAAACACTTTTCTGCATCTACTGACATAATCATGTGGTTTTTGTCTTTAGTTCTCTTTATGTGATGAATCACATTTATTGATTTGTATATGTTGAACCAACCTTACATTGCAGGGATAAAACCTACTTGATTGTGGTGGATTAACCTTTTGATGTACTGCTGGTTTCAGTTTTCTAGTATACTTTTGAGGATTTTTGCATCAATGTTCATCAACGGTATTGGCCTAAAGTTTTTTTGTTATTGCTGTGTCTCTGCCAGGTTTTAGGTTAGAATGAGTTAGGAGGATTCCCTCCTCAAATTTTTTAAATAGTTTCAGTAGGAACGTAACCAGCAATTATTTGTACATCTGCTAGAATTCAGCTATAAGTCCATCTGGTTCTTTTGGTTGGTAGGCTATTTATTATTGATTCAATTTTAGAATTTGTTTTTTTTTTTTTCTTTTTTTTTCCCATTTATTTATTTTATTGTATTTTATTTTTTGGGGTACATGTGAAGAACATGCAAAATTGTTGCATAGG